ATCATTATGTGATGATCATGTGTGGTTTGTTCTGCAGAGTACATAGAACAGATCAAATCTGGAGAAGAGGAGTTCAAGGACCTGGCGTTTCAGTTCAGTGACTGCAGCTCAGCCAAGAACCACGGAGATCTAGGACAGTTTGGCCGAGGTAAACCACTGTCCACCGCACTGTCCACCGCACTGTCCACCGCACTGTCCACCGCACTGTCCACTGCACTGGATCCACCCAGACAGAGTCATTTGACCAGTGGGTGGCGTGGAGGAGCCAAGTCAACTCAGATTGGCCTCCTTACCTTGATTACCCATCATCTAAGTACATGTAGTTGAGGATGGGGGGGGCAGGGGGGGTTCCTCTGTGACATCAGTGTCGTGGACGCCGCCCCAGTGTCATTGTCCTTCCTGTGTTCCAGGTCAGATGCAGAAGCCTTTTGAAGACGCCTCCTTTGCTCTAAAAGTGGGCGACATGAGCGGCCCAGTGTTCACGGACTCTGGAGTCCACATCATCCTGCGCACCGGCTGAAGGAGGAGTCCCACGCCGCCCTGTCTCAGCCCCTACGCTCCATCACCACCGCTCCACTCCCATCCAGTGCTACCGTTAACACCACCCGCTCCACCGTACAACAAAACTAATGGAATGATGTGACGTGAACAGACGGTCAGGGTGTGAGCGCCGCGGCCGGCGTGTGGCAGCTCCTGTGGCCTGGAGCTTCTCTCTACTGGAGGGTCTTCATACGTGCATGTCTCCAGACGGACCTTCTCTCATGTGCATACGGTTCTTCTTCTTGCATTTCCCTAAACAAGTTTATTATTGATTTAAACCTCCTCTGCCCCCTGCCCCCTCCCCACCCCGAAGAAATTGAAAGGTGGACTCAGTGAAGGTCCAGGTTTTTACCCGTGCTCCGTGCAGCTGATGTGTCATTGAAGCTCCTCTTTCATCAATAAATGAAAATGTGTTTTCTACCAGTCAGTGTTCCTCTGTGTCCTGGTTCCATCGGAGTCTCAGTCTGGCTGCTTCTTCACAGACAGTCAGACACAGACAGACTTCACCTACACTGACCTCCAGGTTCCTCCAGATGTTCTGACGGTTTGGAGAAGAGAAGCTCACTTTAACAATTAGTCACACAATTAAAACGAAACGTAACAATTAATATATTATTATTATTATTATTATTATGTCTCTGTCGTTGGTGTGGAACCTCAGGGTTCACCTCCCGGGTTATTTCTCAGACATCTGTCACCGTGAACTGAACGCACATGAAGCCACTGATGAACCGGTCCTGGTCCGGCCGTCTTCCGGTCTCCTGGTCCGGCCGTCGTCCTTCCGCTCGG